GGAGACTGAGACAGTAGGAGGACCAAGAATTTCTATCATGGGACAGAATAAGCCTACAGTTTTATGCAATCTAGAGCTAACTTCTTTAAGGTGTCAACTATGGTTTGTTAATAAACATACAAAACCAAACAAGGAAGGTTTACGCAAGGCACTGAGGTTACAGTCTTAAAAAGAATTCTAATGGGCTGATAGCAGTTGGAGAAAGCACTGTTGTCCTACAATGTCCTCCTCAAGACTGCGTGTGCTGCAAATGTATGGCTTTCATTTCACTGATAATAAACCATTTTGTGAAAACACTGCCAAATCCTCCTTCATCCCCCCAAAACCACATCCTCTTTTGGCTGCAGGACAGCTCCTTACAAAATCATCCACTGCTTAACAAGCTAGCCAAATTACAGCAAAGCCACTTAGACTACACAGATTATAGATGTACATACATAACTAACTCCTGGGTAGTTGAGACATAACAGCTGCACAAGCTAATCCTATCAAACCCAGACATCCAAAGGAGCCCAACTCCACCAAGAAAGAGTCAAAGTACCTGGAAATACAGGACAGATTTTCCTCTTCCTTGTCTTTTTCATATATGCCCAGGGCATCAAATGAAGGCCCTCAATGAAGTAATTTTTCATTTTAAATTACTTTTCTGCCAAAAGCACAATACAGTTATTTCTTCTCTCGCATCTATGAGACATAGGAGATCTCTTCTTTATCATTTCTGAAAATTACTGGAGAATAGAGAAGGAAACTGTCTTGAACACAACATCTTCTAAGGAGAAAGTTTTCCATTGGAATGTTCCTCACCTGCAACAAAAAGCCTTAAAAGACAGTGAAAAAGGAAAGCAACCTGTCAAGCCTAGCTATGCAGGATGATTCTTCATTCAAGATGCGATTTGATTTCTAATTTTTGTTTATTATAGGAAACAACTTTTCTCATTTCCCCTCACCCCTCAAAGTGTCTATGGATATCACTGTAACCTGAAAATTAACTGTGAGGCTAAAAAATGGTTAGAAAAGTTACATTTTGAAGGTGGAGCTCCAAGAAGCTACAGTCACTGCGTAAGACCGATACAGAAAGCAACCTCAATGTGAGCAGAAGAACAGCTCTTCACCTAGCTAACTTCTACAGAGCAGTTTAGCCATTTCTTAAGATGCAGGAAACAAGCTGAATGACTTCCTCTCATGGAGGAAAGCTGTCTCCTTCTCACTTTCCAGCTAGAGGACACCTACCACGTGACAGAAATGCCCTACCAGGAGCATTAATTAACTCTGCTCCCATGTTTCAGGACATTCAAGGACAGGATGAACTCTCAACAGGTTAACCCTCCCTTCCTCATTCCTTGGGATGCCAGTTTTCAGACCCAAAGGCTATAAGAGAAATGCAGTCAGATGTGCACTTAAACATGCAAAATTTCAATTATAAAAGGAAGGGTGCAACCCACTTAACCCAAGTAGATGGGCCAAGTGTATTTAATTGAATGATTGTACATAGTTGAACTCCAAGACAAGGAATTCTTGTTCGGTTGGTGCTTCAAGCTCTTCAGCTTTGCACAAGAACGAACTTTTGTTCTTGAGAGGCAAGTATGTGCATATTCTCCCCAAAGTTCAGAAGACAGAAGCAAGTTCATCAAAACAACTTTGAGCAGTGCAACACTACATCTGAAGCAGTTTGTCCGGGATGCTTCTAGAAACGTTTTTTGTGGTAACTACTTTTAGAAAACTTGAACATGGGCATATTCATTTTTGCAAAATCTTTTCTTTCCTTCCCATGCCTATCCCAGATCTTTGTATAGATGTTCAGCTCATAATGTCTATAAGCAACAGTAGACAAACTAACAAAACTCTTGGCAACTGTACACATGTACATACTTAAGTTCAGAACTAAGGAGAAAAGTTGGAAGTGGTGGTTCTCCAGACCAAAAAACATCTGGACAACACATCAGCTACAAACAAGCACAGAAAGGCTACTAGACCTTAGTATGACCACAGAAGGATATCCGTTCATCAAAAAACCACTCATATTAATCATAATATCAGAACTGTAAGAGTAAAGCCATGCCAATTTGACAGTACCAAGAGTTTTCAAACTCAATATTCTTAATCAAGACTTTCTTAACTGTTACATTTTCCTCAAACCTTAAAATGTTTCAACAATTCTCACATGCTGATTTATCTGCCTTTTTGACATACAGAGAAAGAATGCAGACCTTGAATTTTTTGCAAGAGACCAGAAAATACGCAATGCTACTGCATTGCATTTAAATGACTACACAATGATGCAAACAGATTCTGGACTTTGCAAACAGATTGAGTTGCAACATGAAGAACTGTTGCTAGCAATAGGAAAATATCAAATAATGGTTATCTGGCACTAGACAATAGTGCTTAGGCACCATAAGCCACATACAGCAGACATGCATGCACGTGTGTTGATATCTAAGCAGACAGATACCAAAGACCTTCCTGTATGCACTCTAGCATCAAAACAAAGGGAAAAGCAACCACCAGCTTCCTAGTGAGATAAGTTGCATCTCCCACCCAAAATTAGACGAGTCTGTGCATAATAAGGCTTTGATGCTACCTTCAGCCTTTCCTGTTTTCTCCATTTCTTCTTCTAACTATAGCCAGACCTTCTCACTTGCTCTTTCTACTTCTACCAGTCCCAGTATTCCATTTGGACAGGGATTTAAGTTACTAGTCTTCTAGCAACTACAGTTACTAGAAGAAAAAGAGAAAGGAGAAAGTAAAGCTGAGAAATTAACAGAAGCTAACCATAAACAAGCAAGATTTAAAAGTCTGTGTGCAAAATGATCAAGATAAAAAAAAAAAAAGGAAGTTTTTTCTTCCGAAAACACCTATTTAAAAAGAAAAAAAAAGTACTACCACCAAAACCTCACATTTTCCTTGTTTTCTGCTTTCAGAGAGGAGAGGCACTCCAAGTAATCGGAGGGGCGGACTTGTCTGAAGCCCATGGAACCATTTCCTCATTTCCAGATGAAATCATACACACATAAAGGAAAGTGTGATGTTTTCAAGCGTTCATATACTTGTTTCAGAAACCATTAGCTTCAGTGGACTGTCTTAGCATCATACCCAGCATCCACAAAACCAGAGCTCATTCGTGGTATTATTGAGTTTATCCCTTGTTAGCTTATCATACATTCAGACTACCTGAGGCAAGAATTGAGCAAATAGCAGAAACAGGAGCAATGGAAACCTCGGACACCGTGGTCCTTCCAGATACAAAGTTTCTGCACTTCCTACAAAACGACACTTGTTTTTGGGGGCTCATCCCAGATGTCACTGCCATCCTATTTCTAGGATAGCCAGAGATCCCAGAAGGGCAAGAAAGGTGCATTTGTGGGGGAGAGCAGCCCCGTAGCAAAGGGACAGACACGCGTAAGACTGAAATTGCCAAATTCAACACTATTTAGGTATGTTTTAAGAAAAAAAAAAAAAAAACAAGGGAAAAAAAAGGGAAAACAAAACAAACAAGGAACAAAACTACAGTTTTACAGTATGAATCTCTCAAGAATAGTAAAGTAGTGTGCAAATTTGATAAAGAGGCTACACTTTTCAAAACCACCAAAGCAAAGGAGGTTATGTACTATTAACAAATCATCTCTAGTTTGTCTTTAAAAAGAATAAATAAGTTGAGACATTCCATTACAGCAACAGATGGCATTTTACACAATACAATGAAGAAAAAAACAGTTTCATGTTAGTTTAGTCTACCACCAATTAGAGGGGAGGGAATATTTGTTTGTCACAGAGGCATTTCTCTTAGCAGCAAGATAACTGGGCATAAACATGTTTCTGTTGTGGCTCTCATTGGAGTCTTTTTTCTGATAAAGCCACTATTATACCTAATATAGATTATAATACATTCATATCACCCAAGTTGTTCATTCCCACAAACAGTGTTATGAGTGTGGAATTTTTCCTGTTCCTTTCAGTGACATTTTCTTGGCTTCTTCCTCTGGGAAAAATATTTAGGCAATAGCTTCCCTTTAGTGTAATTTGTGTAGGCCACTTGAGTCATTTGGCGAAATTCAGAATGCTGTGCTGCATTTTCACTGTTCTAGCTCATGGATAGTCTCAGACTTCTCTCTCTACATGTTACCATTAAACAAAGAGGAAGGGGAAGACAGCCACAGCATTTATAAAGCTCCATTATCCACTTGTTAAGCATTCATTTAAAAAATTAATCTTATATTGAGTTGCCAACAACAACCACTGTCACCAGAAGCAGGAAAGATCACTAATCCATTACTCTATGTAACAAGTTTGCCTTTTCTTGAATAGCAGAGCACCTTCTCTTCCTAGAAAAGCTCTGGAACTTGCTAACACAGCAAATTATCCTCTGTTCAGTAGCAAAAAAGTCAAACTATTAGTAAGCAGCAGTGGACTCTACTGGGCCTTTTCACATATTTCTTTGAGAGTAATGTGGCACAAACCAAGGCTTTATGGAGACTAATCCAAGTCAGTTAAATTCCATCTATTTAGCAATACTTATGAAAGTACAAGTTCTTTTGAAATCTACTACAAGCAAACATTTTGTCTACATACAGATCTCTGCTTCACAACTACAGACCTTTTTTTCCCCTTCCAGATCAGCAGAAATAGTACTACAAACTAGTATTTTGTTACCTGCAAACATGCAGCAACTCTAAAATTCCATTTCATATCTCGTTTCTCTGTGTAATATTTCCAGCTCTCTAGAAAACAGCATCTAGTACTTCTCCAGAAAACATAATTTCCTGATTTCACTGAGTGTTTCACTAAAGGACCAATAAACATCTGTTCTCAACCACAGCTACATGAAATATTTTCAGTGTGTAAAGCAAGGAGACGAACAATGTTTAGAAAACTGACAGAACACAACTGTTCTGTTCTCAGGTCTTCGAGGTAATTTGGCAAAAATGATGTTTTGGAACATCAGCATTGTATAGATTAACATTACCATCCACTAATTACTCAAAACTGGAGAGTTGTCTTACCCCAAATGGTGGATATGAAGCAGCAGCAGCAGCAGAGGCAACACTCACTGCAGGAGGTGGTATTCCTGAAGAAGAAGGTGGGAACAGACCCAAGGCATTCAGATTTAATCCAGGAATTAAATGTGCTTGAAGCTGCAATGGCAGAGGAGTAATTTTAGATTTATGATTCTGATTAAGTTTAATCAAAATCTTAGCTGGCTATATAATAAGCTATTAAACTTCCAAAAAGATGTCAGCATGTTCCTTAACACTCACCTCAGCCCCCAACGCTCCCCATCTCCACTACCCCAAGGACTCAGTTTCAAATTTATTTCCCTAATACATGTACAGACCAACAATGTTGAAAAGATGATTTTCATTAGATGAAGCAGCTATGAATTCCTCACTACAACTTAAGTGATGTGTATCACAGACTTCATAGCAAGGAATTCAGGGAATAGCAACATTTACTTTCAGAGTGAATAAACTAGCAGAGACAACCATTCTGGCTTTATACTAAAGAAAGCAGTGCTATACAATCAGAGAAATCCCATGAACAAGTCCTGCTTTACCATGCACACTACAAACCTTATCCTCCCTCCCATGCCTGCAAAAGATAAACTAAGATCCCATCAGTTCTTGCTGGGGAAACATCAGCCACGCAGCTGCGCGTCCCTCACTTGGCCACGCAAGTGGTAGCACCAAGTACTAGGAAGCATGTTTTCTGCAACAAAACTTTTCAGCACCACCTCTGACTTTGTCAAATTATTGCCTATTAACAGAACTTTGCTTTAGAAATATTTCAGCTAGATACTGACACCATCTCAGGCCATCGAGGTAATCCAATTACGAGACACACAAAACATGCCAAAAACTTTACCATCTACCCTATAATCACAAATAACTAAGGTTGAAATGAACCCAGGACTAACTACTAGAGACAGTTTTCTGCCGGCCACACCTTTGCCAAACAGCAGAGCAGAGCTCACTATATGAGGCAAAGATGTACCACAATAAAATACTTTGTGTACTCATATGTAGTTTATGTCCTGCACATGGCACAGCATGGGAGGAAGGGGAAAAACAAAGTTCTCTCTCTAGCCAGTAGAGAAACCATAATGAATAGCCATTCCTAGAAAATCAGAGACTACTGTAAAGTAGAAGATATTTCCAGTCTGATCCTAGACCATAAGATTTGGTAATACGGACACACAAGAAGCTTTTCGTGGCTTATCAGCCATCTCAGATTTTTCCCCAATATGCATTAGTAATACTTTGGCAAACTAATGAGGTATGTTGTTTTTATTATATAATCACCAATCATTGAATAATTGAATGTCTTTATCATCTATATCAAGAAAAATTTAATATAGCCTTCTAAATTGAATAATTAAAAGCAGGAGAGATCCATCTTCCATATGTTATGCTTTTAACATCAAGAGACTGGGGAACACAGCTAAGAAACTTATACAGTATGACACAAACCACAGCAGCACGGACACACTGTTGTTTCAGGCTTCTGCAACAACAACAACAACAAAGTAAAATCATCACCCATGTCCCCAATCTAAACCAATTTATCTTGAAACAAACTAGCAGAGGAAACCCTCGTTAAAATAACAAATGATAATAAAAAACAACAACAACAAAAACATACCCAAGGCTCATAAGCAAATGCAAGTGGCAGCAGAGGGAAATTCTATTCACTAGAATTTCTCCCCAGGGGCTGCCAACTCCATCCATGGAGATGTCCCAAAAGGAACAAGGTATTACACAACCCCATTTAGGTTTGAAAGAGGTCACTGTTTGGCCAGATGACCTCCACCAGTCCTTCACATCTAAGCCAAAAGAGGTTCATGCCACAGAACAACTCACATTCATAGCAGCAATATCATTTTCATAGGATTCCCTGATTTTCTTCATAATTTCTTCCTCGGCCTTGGCACAAGTTTCAATACTGCCTTTAACTGTAATGGTCCTTTCCGGATTATAGAGTGTCAAGTCCTGCAATCTATGGATGAAACAGAAGCACAATTAATCAGCAAAAAGCAGAGGGGTCATCAAGGCTTGTTAGCTAATTGCAATGACATCTAATTGTGCCACTCCCTCTAAAGAGTGAAGCACCTATTTGGAATGTCACTCAGGCTGTTCTAAGATAATCTGGAGAAACTCTGCCCTCACAACAAATCCAAAAGGAATCACCACAGTGAGGTTTGGCATCACGTGGGTACTACGTGCTGAGGTGCAACATGAAATGGAAAGCATCAGACACAGGCAGAATATGAGCAGCGCTCAGCCTCACCAGAGGGCTTCAGGTATTTTAGATGTACCAGAAAACACAGACTGCAAGACATTTTCTTTCCTTAAGAACTCATGGATTCCCAAAGAAAACAGGGGAAAAGGCCCAAACCCAGTCAGACTACAATCTCCAAATCCTCATGACAGAGCAGCCAAACACTTTAAGTCATTTGCTGTGAAATATTATGTAGTAACTGCCCACAGAAAATGCAAGGGTTACAGCATTAAACTCCAGTACTCTTCATTTTGACTAAAGTCATTCATCTCCTAGCTTCCACCTGAGCTATTTTCTACAGCACACTATTTCCCCCCCCATCCCTGCATTTCTTCTCTTCACACATGTTCATGCATCTTTCAGCCTCGCTCCTTCTCCTACAACCTATAAGCCCTCTTCTTCCTTTCTCAGCTAAAGTTCAAGTCTAGAGTGCTCTCAAATGCCTGGAAGTTCATGCCAGAACATTCGTTATTCAGAACAGGAGGTTCTCTGAAGATATTTCCCCAGGGTAAAACTACTATTAGCAGCCAAACTTCTCCAGAGATATTTAATCAGTGATTTCCTCCCTCACCTCACTGACTTTTCCCGTTACAGCGAAAATTCCTTCCTGATCTCAGATAAATTCGAATAGGTCTTGGTTACCTTCACAAACTCAGAAACCAAAATCTGTTACTCAGATGCAGACTAGTCAACATATCCTAGTTCAGCTGCTAGTGATCAGAGAGGGACAGAATCACCACTAAAAATACTCTTTTCAGTATTTATTTGATTTCTTTCTGTCTTGTCAAAAAATTAATCTGTATCAGAAGCCAAAATCCTTACAAGACAGACTGGTAGTTTCACACATTTTCACACATACAGAACTAATCCAACCTTGTAGTTTAAAACACCATTCCTTGCACACAGCATAATATATTGAAAACAGCAAACACTTAAAATCTATTTCTAAGGTGAGCTCCACATAGCTTCTATTATTTTTAGGTGTTGTTGGCTGAATTTGCAATGAAGAATTGAAGTTTACATGCACTGTAACTGATGTTAGGTAGCAGTTAAACCCAAATTTTGAATGTGGCTCCAAGGGTGTGTCACAGACTCATAGAATCACTCAGGTTGGAAAAGACCTTAAAGATCGTGGAGTCCAGCCATAACCTAACCATACTCCCCTAATTAACAACCCTCCGCTAAATCATGTCCCTGAGCAGTTGTTGCATTCTTCAAAACATGCAACATTTATAAGAGTTCTGCACCTAAACATATGCACCACAGCAGCATTGAACATCTCACTAAAATATTATATGACCAAAAACTTACGGAGATATCGTGATTTTAGTATCTGTGTCCTGCTCAATTTTCTTCAGGTTTCTTCCTTCTTTGCCAATAAGCCGACCAACAAAGTTGTTGTGTGCCAGTATCTTCAGAGGAATTTCTTCCGTACTGTAACAGAGGTTACACCCAGTGAGACTTGAAAACCAGAGTGCAAACTTTTATGCATGCTATGGATAAACTGTATTTTCACAGAAATGCCTACCACTCCTATTCACCCCCCCACGCTTATAATAAGAGATGCAGAATGAATACAGGTGCAATGCTATTTCAGCACTATCAATTAAAGATTTCTTGTGATGTATCTGTAAACAGAAGTCCTACTGAAGTAGCAAGAGCTGTTGGGAAGGAAGCAAGATATTAAAGCTTTTAGTGATAGTTCACTAAAGCTACTAGTGCCTCAAAAACTTTCAATATTTGCTCTGTTTCACCTCAAAATTGCAGGCACTGAGTAGCTGGGAACGTAGACAGGTACTGAAGATACTTAAGCAATTGAACCATCCTTAGAAGGTAAAAGAAGCAAGACTTCTCTAGTTAAGTGCAAATAACAACAGAGGAAAGATTCACTACATAATAGATTTTAAGAACCCTTCTTGAAATGAAATCAACAAGGATTTAGAATTTTTAATGCCTTCACAATGAAATGGCTTTTACTCACAATTTAGTATCTTGAGCTTCTTTTTGCATGATCTCCATAATGATTTTACAAGCTGTTGAGCAGCCTTCAGGAGTTGAGTGAATGGTAATTGGTTTCTCAGCAGCACCTGCATTCTCTTTACGATGAATATCAATTCTTAGAAGAAAGAAAAACACCAACTGTAACCACATACTGTATAGTACACTCTGCATACTTACAACTCTCATAGAACTAATTAACTTTGAGCTAGCAACAACTACATTTCAGTACTTCCATTTCAAGAGGATACAATTACTTAAACATTCCCTAAATATGAGGGCTGCTCTGAAAGTACTTCTTACGATGTTGGCCCACAATGTCAGAGGCAGATGGTGGTGGTACAGCAGTGGAGGTTGAACCTTCCTGCCAATAAGTCATTTATGTTGCCATAAAATAGACGCAGCAGAGGGCAGTCTGACAAAATGGTGTCTGATGTGGAAGTGTGTATGAAGCAAAGGCGTAGCACTGAATTTCTCCAGGAGGAAGAATCTGCATCCATTGAAACCCATCAGTGTCAGCTTTCTGAACAGCAGCAGAGACCAAACAGTGGGTGTTAGCACAGTGAAGATTGGACTGCATGAGCAACATTTTCCCAGCAACAACATCATCCTAGCAACTGTGAAACAGCTCTGTTAAATTGTGTTGCTGTGCGCTTTGTTTCTGGTGTAGTTTCCACAGAAACAGATAGGAAGCATTACTTTTGGAGCAACCTTTGTACTATTTGGATGCTAGGATCTTCATTCTTCAAACTGCATTCAAAGGAGACATTAGATAGATAATCTGTGATGTCCCACTGAAGAGAAGATTTCATCAAGGTTTCCCAAAGCTCTGAATGTTTGTCAGCAGTCCCATCACTCCACTAATAACGAGTGCAACTACAGGTACAGCAAGACTTTGTCCCTTCTTGATGTTCTCATGGCCTCAACAACAAGTTTTCCTAGCACTTCTCCACTAACAAGTGGAAAGTAGTGTTTACATTTATCCTAAAGACTACTTGTTATGTGTTTTAAACCTAAAATTTGTCCACCAGCTCCACTCTGACATTCTGAAACCTTGAATCTACATCACATTTTATTTAGCTGCAGAAAGTAAAATTAATCACAACCTACAACAAGACAATACTTTGGATATTTTCTGTACTCTGCCAATAAATGCAGGTTATTTTTATTCCCATCTCTTCTTTCTGCTTCCTCCCTCCCCTTTTCCCCCAAATGATAGCTGTTTCTGAATTTAAAAAACAATCACATTACTCTTTTCTTAACCCCTGTATATTTTTTTTTCCAGTTCTGATATTGAAAAAATCATTTTGTTTCATGATGCAACATTTTGAAAAGTCCATGACAATCCTCAGTGCAACTGGAAGTAGACTTCTCTTTCTTCAATCCCCCAAACAGGAAAAAAATCATTCTTGAAGCAGTGTATCCTTAGAGCTAGCAAGATGCAATTGTTTCTGCTCTATTCAGTCTTCTTATGCCAAATTCTAGTTCAGATACTATAGTAAAGAAGCCTGGAAGTTTTAGATATCACCTGAGAATTGGTTGCCCATAGACAAACTACAACCAAGTTCTTGTTAGGACACCACAGGTCTCTTAAATCTTTGTTGTTAAACACAGAGAATAGTCTCCTGGGTTACAGCATGCTAATGAGAAATTGAAATTAGCATCAAGATAATCCTGGGTATGGTGGGCAGGGGGCCTCTTTTTTGTTGCACTACTCAAGGCAGTATCTTTCATCCTGTGCCTTTTGGAGAATCCTAGAAGAATTCTTTGATTGTGACCCCACCTTCCTCTGCATCTGTGCTTACACCTTCCTTGTGGGTAGGAATTTAACACTCTAAAAACAATTTCCTTCTGTGTCTCTGGACCCTAGTGCTCTAAGCTTCTTGGGTCAATCAGCAGCTTGCTTTTTGCCTTGTGCATTTTCTTAATCTTTGTTTTGGCATGGTCTGCAATCTGATAGCAAAGAATATATTCATATTAGATAAATTAGAACAAGGTATAAAGGAAGAAAGAGCTGAAGGTTCTTTTTCCTGCTTCCTGCTTCCCACCCATAACTGAGAACAAATTTAAATCCAAAGAATACCCTAAATTAAACTAAAGCTACAGTAAGCAATTAAAGGCTTGGATATGTCACCACACTGCCTACACATTTTGCAGACCAATATATTTCAGTTTTCTGTTTTCCTTCTTATTCCCAGAGTCTTATTAGTACACCTGCTAAATAACTCTGGCATCAATATCATCCTATTAGCACTGCTAATTTCATTCAAAGTAAATTGGAAAAAAAAAAAGGCAAGTATCTTAACGTGTGTCAAGGGCAGAATCAAGCTCTTAAATCTTGCCCAAAATTTTCTATTTGCAGTTACTTTCGTTTGTTGTGGAATTTTACATGATTTACGTGTTTCCTAAAGTCACTACTTGGCATCTCAGAACAGAAAGCAGCACTGGTTACACAAGCTGAAACAAAAATGTTTGGTCTCCAAAAGTGATGCTGCTGAGGAAACCGCAGCCTTTCAAAGGCTGTAACAGTATTATGGGAGAAGTGGGAGACAATCTCGTCCTGTAACCAAGAACATTCCAATAACATAAATATTCCAGATTTAAAGAAAAAAAAAAAAAAAAAGAAAAGAACCCCCCCCCCCTTCTATTTGTAAGGTTGAGCTTCCTTCAGAAACAAAAAGTATGTGCAAACTAAGACACAGCACACATAGAACACAGCAGAAAACACACTTATAGTGTTAAGGCAAAGTGTTCCCAGCAGCTCCTACAGGAAGACAAACTGCTGAACAGACTGTGAATACACTCATCCCATAGAGAAGGCAGAAGTTTTGCTTCTCCTTCCACACAGTAGACAAGGACACAACACTGAAACTTACAGTAACATCTTTACAGTAACCTACTTGGACTGAGTCTGCTTTGTAATATTTCTGATGGTTGCTCCTTCTTTCCCAATAATGGCTCCAACAAACTGCGTGGGGACCAACATCCGTAGAGGAACGTCTGACTGTGGTTTCTGCCGCGCGGCTGCGCTGGGTGAGCCCTGCCTTGGAGGGCCCCTCTGTCCAAATCCACGCCGTCCCTGGGGATGTTGCTGCGGAGGTTGCTGTGCCGCCATTTCATCAGGGATATACGCAACTTTCAAGGAATAGTTTTCAAGCTGAAACCCGTTCAGTTTTTCTATTGCTCTGTTTGCAAAGGGGAGAAGAGTAGGAGGGGGTTGGGAGAAAAAATAAGAAGAAAGTCACAGGTGGGACACCATAAGAATGAGAAATCATTCAGATGTAGCCTTCCACACTTCCCAAGTAAAACAAGCTAAAAATCTGTTCCCAGGTGAAAGCTTATATTCAATTATTTGCTTATTTTTTTTAATCTAAATCTTGACTGAAGACAGTAAAGTTACCATATTAAGAACTACAAGTTAGCTCTTGCTTGCTCTGGGCTTCTGTGCACTTTAAAGGTTTTGCTGGTGCAGCCCTATCAGCAAAACCTCACAGGAGACAAGGCTTATATACTCAAAAGCATTCTTTTGCCTGCTGTAATTTAAATCAGTTTCCCAAATAGAATTAAATCTGCACCAGAGGGAAAACTTTTTAGCTGATATCACAGCACCTTCATTAGAGTTTTTGCCAGCACAGCTATTTGGCTGGAGGTTTTTTGCACTAACTGACATAGCTATGACAGAAAAAGATAGGAAAAACCACTCACGCTTCGTTCTCAGCAGGAGAGAAAGTATTCAAAGCCAGTCAATGGCACTTGAAACATCAGCTTACCAACCAGTTATGGATTAAAAGTTAACCAACAAATTTAAACTAATGCATCTTTGCTCTTGATCGATGCAAAGGTGTTTGAAGACATGGTGTTTCAAGCTCCATTCTGCCCTTAAGACCATACCATCCCACTACACTGAGTAGAGCACATCCTCAGCATAACACTGAACGCTTGAAGGCCACTCAGAAATTGGCTACATTTAGTAGAGGCCCCCAGCTACTGGAAGCTTTAAATCTGAATCTCTTGGTGGATCAGTTGGCAAATCATTGCTGGTTTCCTGTAGAGGGAATACCAAAGGACAGGCATATTGCAGCAGGTTATTTTTACCTAATACGAAAATACCCTGGTCACCTATGCTCTAAGCAGCACCCACAAATAAAGTAGCTCCCATACCCCTTCGTAGCCCTGAGGACATTATGATAACAAGGAGAGACCAGCATCTGAAAACAGCCTTTTCAACTAAGCAAAGTCCCACATACACAGGTCAACCTGACCCAGCCTCCTCTCTGCAGAAGCACAACTCCAGGGCCCAAAACAACTGATTTCTGGAAGGTAGAAGACCTTGCACTTGCAAGCAGGAGAGGAAGTGTCAATAGAATTGAAGATCCAGGAAGCAGTAGGGATAACTAAGCTACCCACAACATGCTGGAAACATATTAGTATAAGCTTCATGCATCTATTTGAAAAAGTTTGAGTTTGACCACAGAAGGCATGTTATTGACATTATCAGAAATGCCATATACTGATATCACTGAAACGTGCATCGATGTGGGGGTAGTTTATGAACACCAGGCTTAATCTAGGACAAAAAAAAATTACTAAGAGACTTTACTTAAAGGTTAAATTAAAAAAATTTGTGAGAGGGAGGGAGATTCATATTGCATATAAGGAATCCACCAACATTTTCTTTTAAAAAGCTCATAGTAACCGTACACTCTGGAGCATGGTCTTGGAGATACAGAAACTGAATCTAGTTTTCACACGTGTGTAGTGACAGCTGGTTTACAACACACTGCTCCCCAGGACAACTTTACCCCTTCGTCTGCCACAGCGATACAAGGCCAACCATTTCCAAGGGCAGTTAGCAAAGTACTGCTCACCTCCCAGGTGTCCCAATTGACCGTCAGGCCCCCGGCCTCAAACCACTATTGGAAGAGAGCAGCAGCCGTGCACAAAAGCGGTACCAAGACAATGACCTTCAGATACAGTAAAGAGGATAACATACACCCTCACATCTCAGGGAGTAAACAGTTGTCTGTGAAATACTCCAATAGGACAGTGAAGAGCTTACAAAATTAATTCTTGTCTTTGGAGCAGGATCCAATAAGGGTTGGTAATAAATAAGGCCTAAGGCAATCCCAGTGAACAGCAAGAAAAGCAAAATATTGAATAACTGATCACTGCTCATTAAATACTTCTGTTCACCAAACGAGACAGAAGTCCTCTGGGGATGGAATGGAAGTGTAATTGTTCCCATAATGGGAGAATCTCCTACAGCATATGGCAGAAGAGAGCTGGATTAAAATTTGCTGAGATCATTTCAAAGCTGACATTTCTGAACTTCTACTCCACAGACCAGAGAGCATTTTATTACACAAAATGCTGTTTGCAAGAACAGAAAAGACTGAGCAGTACTACTAACGAAACTTGCTGTCCTATGGATTTAATCTCTCAAGTTTCAGCACAGAGTAGTAATGCTGAAAAGGCATTTCCCCAAAGTGGGTCTCTCTTGGTGGAGATATTATTTGGGGAAGGGGTATGAAGTCTCATCTTCTCATGTAACCTGAAAGAGAGTTCTCACTGATCGCAAATATCTGCAACCTCTATTTACGGTTTGAGCTTTTCTGAAATCAGCCAAGAAGCTGAAAAGCTGTGGGGAAGGGGAATGGCACCATCAGCCAGAGCAGTTGCCCAAGCCCTGTTTCTTTTGGAATCAAACTTCAAGATGTTGAAGAGATGAGCTCCAACCATTTTGCTGGTAGGCAGCAGATTGACATTCATACCAGCTCATTCCCTTCCATGCATTCATTTGACAAGTTCAGGCACTGCTTCTTTCCTAAAGTGCTTCCAGCTTCTCTGGCTTTAAAACTTCCTAGGCCAGAATCCCAGCACTTACAAAATCCTACATTAAACCAGTGCAAGAGGCATCCCACTCTTCTCAGAAGTAACAGGGGAGGAAAAGACTAGGCTTTTGTTTGCAACCAACCTACAGACCCATCACGTTGTCACAACAGACAGTAACAATTGACATATACCATACTTCCTCTGGAAAGAATTTGAGTTTTTCTGATTAAAAGCAATTTATAAACTGTTAAGCAGCTCTATGAGATATTCTATATGACTTAAAATTTGAAACAAACTGAGAAAAGCTCATTTTCCGTTTTGGAAAAAAAAAACAAAACAAAACAATCATATCAGCAGTACACAATCCTCCCTGGCTACCAAAGCCATATGATGAGAAGGGGAGAAAAAATATCAAATACTGAACAGGTTGGTTTTGAGCAGGCATTTGGAAGCAAGCATGATTTGAAGTTCTCTTCTCAAGCTAGATAGCAGGGGTGTGCACCTGAGCACATAGAAATATTCAGTGGCATCACTGGTTTGACTAGTTCAGATACGTAGAGAGAAAAGTTTAAAATAAGGAATTCACTGTCTGAATCAGAGATCCCCACCATGCCATACTTATTGCCCTTTTTGCAGTCCACCAAAAGATACATTAAATCCACTCCCTTCTTCCAAGTATATCCTCTTACACGATGACCACCTCAGAACCTCCAACTACACCACCTCTGCCTTTCAGCAAGGCCTCTCCTTTCCCAAACAGAGCTAAGGATCTCCCCTCCCATGATCACAGCTACAAAAATGTCACAGGTTACCTCTGTCAGAAGTCATTGCTGGTACTCACCACCTTTTACATGAGGGCTAAAAGCCTCACAGAGACTTAACGAGTACAGAGATGGAGAAACCTTCAGTAAGCTTCCTCTCCAAGTAGTAACTTCCATGCCCCAAAATCTGTTTTTTTTTTTTTTTTTTAATTAAGACAATAGGGAAAACTGAAAGCACTTACCTTTCAAATGCCAGCAAGAGCTGGCAGAAATCTCACTGTAGTTCCTTTCTTTTTTTTTTTTTAATAAAATAAAACTAAATTTTGCAATGACCACCGTCTATGCTCTGTTAGATTGTACTACAGCTTGGCTTGTAACTCTTACTCTTCAGGTAAGACCTACTCAAAAGAGGATCACTTGGTGAGGATGAAGCCACTAAATAAATACTTCATTATGCAGTCAGTTGAGTTTTTCCCCCCCATCAAAATTGCATCTTACTGCTGTCCTCTTGCGAGCTTCCTATGAGAAGATATTTGACCAGCCTTCTACCTTCTGATACTGGTAGAGGTTAAACATTCTAAATTAACGAACACAGAAGAAGCATCAAATCTTGTGCAGGTAATCATTCACCCATTGATAGCATGACAATACTAAACACTAGATGGAGAACACACTTCACTCCCACATGCAGCTTATATGTACACTACCTTTCATTTTTCCTCCCTAAGCAGATACATTTGCATACCAAGAAGACAGATTTACGTAGTAATCTTTCTTTGGCTGAATTTTTTTTTTCCCCCCACATTAAGTAAAAATATAGTTTTCATTAGTATTTCTGAAAATAAAAACAAAGCAAAAGACAAATCTTAGCTTATAATCACATACCACTTAGAATTCTCAGTCTTATCGTTCCTATGGCAACGTTACCATCCTGATCCATGATGGTGTATGAAAATATTAGTTATGTGAACTCTTACCCATTTGTCAAAGATGCTTCCTTGTATGCACACACAGCTTTGTGCTTCAGAGAAAGGGGTAACAATATTTGTTTTGTATATATTCTCATTAAAAAGCCATTATCAGCATCTTAAGTATATCTGCTTGTATCTGCTAAGACACAGACCCTGAGCTCCTCACATCACAGCCAGTAGTTAAAACACTCCATCAGTTATAACTATGAGACACAATCAGCAGCCATAGCTCAGTGATGAGCTGAAAAATAAGATATAAAAAATAGTAATCCAGCCCCATCCTGAAATAACAGGCACCCACTCCACAGACAGAAGACCAGCTTTGTATGGAAATCCCTTCCAAAAACCAGAGCTAAATTCTGTAGCACTCAATGCTTACACTCTGGAACATTTGGGGGAGAAAAGAGGAGGCAGCATGACTGTGACAATGACAGCCACAGAGGTGGCCACAAAGACGTGGTCAGCCCATCCTGGATCAACAAGGGAAGAAGAGGAGGGCCCTTCAGCCAGCAGGCCACCTCAAGACACACATGTTTCAGGGTGAACACCAAGCCAGCACTGCATGATCTGGGCTCTGCCACTTGCCCTCTCTACTCCTCTCCCAGATATTCCAGAATACATCACAACAGTAACTGCATGTTTAAGAGCAGTGCATGTATACTTGTTAAGACTCTCTCTAATTTATGGGAATGATAGGGCTTTGAGTTGGAACAACTCCTTCCTCCTTCTAGTCACTTGCAGGAGGAGTGATTTGAGGTCACAGAGCTCCCCAGACAGTCCCAGATTTCTTCTCACTATCCTGGGAGCAGAGATCTTACTGCTTGCCCTATGCCTCTCTGCAAACTTCTTTGCCTAACTAGTCTGACTTTCCTAAAAAGTGCAGACGTTCATGACAGCATTCCAGTCACATGAGCTGTCTCACAAAGTTGCTGTGACTGCAATGAGACCATGGCTCTGTGACTGCACACAGATCCTTAGTTCTTCCTGTTTACTTCTTGTGCTGTGTACACTTGTATACATGCACTTAAGAGAAGTAAAGGGAGCAGAGTATGCAGGTTTCCCTAGAGAAGTGAGCAATTTCTACACGCCCTTGAGATGGCTGACATCCTGACCCGTGATGCTGGGGTCATGAGAGGTAGCTAAGGAACATTTGTCACTATTCTGGTTGGCCTGGCTTATTCTCCCACTCACTGCAATGGCGTAGCATTACCTCTTTGGACTGAGCTCTCAACTCCTTCAGTTTAGAACCAGAACTGCAGCACCAGTCCAGAAAATGGGGGAGAAGAAACTTGCTGTGGCAGAGGTTAAGACAGAGGAAAGCTCAGTTTCCAACCTGGCCAAGACTAGGAGTTATATTCAAAAGTAACATCCTTCAAACAATACACGCCACGTGTTTAAACTGCATATCACAAGTTTAAATCAGAACCAGGTTGTGGTGCAGCGCCATCACTGCACCATTCCATCAGTACACAGCCCCTTCTATTCAGAAGGGAAGCAGCGAGCTTAGCCCGTTTTGTTGTCACCAACCATGAGGTTAGCATGTGTTGCAAAAGGTGTAAAACACACTGAGAACTGGGGAGCCACTGCATACAGCACCATAGGCATTGCATGATCTCTTTGTCTTTGTCACGTGTGCAGGATGCTGTGATGTGCTAGCAGCACTGCTAATAGCAGTATTTGCCCTAAGCTGCTTTATCTCAACGTACAAAACTTTTTGTTAGCTGTTGATTCCCAGCCAGCCTGAGCAACTTTCAAATAAGTATTTCTTGTTACTCCCGCTACTCCATGGGCTGACCAGTGCTGACTTCTATCAGATGCCAAACACTCACGTACCACTCCTCCCTTCGAAAGCCACTGCTGTCTACCACAACCATCCAAGAAGCACAACTAAGTCATGTCTCGCAAAAACACTCAACTGAAACACCAGTGTCCTTGGAGATCAGCCACACGTGCCCTGTGGTGATTCTACCTGGCAATTCCTCACTGCTTTCACCAGAAGAACATCCATCTGGCCACTTGGGTTGGTTTTTTTTCAGTAGCTGAAGAGTTACAACCTGAACCAACATTTTCTTGGCATACATTAACTAATCCCTTAGGTAGGCCTGAGTCTCTGTCACAGTATTCACAAAAGCAAATTCAAGGCTCATGCACTTGCCCCACATGCTCAAGGCAAACACAGGACGTGTCTTCATTCATCTTGCACTACATCTGGTCCTCCACCAATGTCTATAATGTCTACTACTTCACCTGCTTCAAACTCAAGGTACCTTCAATTATTTTTTCATGCAATTTCTCATGCAAAACCAGATTATTTGTTTTTAATCTCAATCACTTCCTCACAGACTCAACTTATTGAGGCGTTTTCTCAGGATTATCCACAAAATTTAACAAATATTGTCTAAGGGAGAAGAAATTGCACTTTGCTGTCCTCGGCTTCAGAATGTAGTGCACAAATCCAGGAAACCACATCACAGGTGGCAGATCAAATTTACGCATCACGCTTCTTTCCGTGGCGCTTTTGGTACTTCCTCATTACATTTTTGAAGAGGTAACTTACAACCAATTTCTAACACTGCACCACTGGACTCCTTCAGAACAAGAAATCCAGCATATTTTTAAATTACTTTGCAGCAGAATTAGAAGAAACAAAAGATCACAGAGAGGAAAATATCAACTCAGGTTTTGAGGAGGTAAGTTCAATAGTGATTTGAAGAAAAATAGTTTCCTTCAGTTCCAGTACTGACAAGCAACCTAACATTTGGACATATGACTTACGTTGCTTTCAAGTTGCATGGAACTCATAAATGCTTAAGTGTACAAATGTATTTCATTTGTAATGTTGCATTAATGCATACCATCAGCATAGCCTACGTCTTTAATGCTCATTCTAGTTAGCCACAAGGTGGCAGAAATTTCAAAGTTAAAAAAGGAAATTCATTGCAGGCTATTCCCTTGGGTATGGTTTTGTTTAACCTGTTATAATTAAAAAGGAGGGGGGGAAAAAAGTGGTTGAGTCTCCAAATTAGAAATTAAGAAAAAGAACTAGAGTTCCTAGCTACAAAGGAAAAGCAAATTTAAACCTATAGCATAATAAATAATATCAATATTCAAAGGGAAATTATACAACTGTTGGTTAAGAAAACATTTTGGTTTTAAATTTTAAAGATCTAGATTAAAAAAATCATTGATTACTGAAGACATAAGCAAACAAAATAAGCAGATAAGCAAATCAGCTATAGTGTGACAGCTGGTGCTGGGACACCAACCATTCTGATAGAGTCATAAGCTTGGCAAAAGCCATAATCACGAGCACACAGAGAGAGGAATCCTCCCAGCCCCTACCTGATCAATGGCCTTTCAATCCTCCCTACACAAATGATTTTACCCAAATTTTCAATTTTATCTGACACAAACACACACTCTGGACTTGCAGGAAGAGTTGATGACAGAAAATAGCAAACACTAAGGTAAAGCACACAAGACTTGGCGAAGAGGCTTTCTTAAAGTGGTATCACTCACATGATAATTTTACTGGTAGATTAATCAGAAGAAAAGATGCGTATAAAATCTGAACATGAACTCCAACATATAAGCCAGCCTACAGCAGCAAATACTAATATACTTACTGTCTAGCCTGGTCCTTATTGCCATATGTTACATTTACAACTGCAGTCTCTGTGTCAGTGTTCACTAGAGAGGAAAACAAAAGGAAAGAAGGTAAATTTAGCATGCATTCACTTCTTACTACAAATTTAAAAGCAATTTGAGGTCAGAGTGCCTACCTTGCTCACAGTTCTCCACTGTTCCATACTGAGCTAACAAACTGTCCAACACCTAACAGGGGGGGAGAGAAATAAAAGGTTTCAATTTCAAAATTACTAACAAAAGACTAATTACACTAAAATTTATAATGATTTTATCAAAACGTGAGCATTCAAGACAACTTCTCTGATAAGCTATAAATCATATCAGCTTGGAAAGAGTAAGCATGCGTTACTTACATTTGTTCTGAATTCAGAAAATCCACACAAAACTTGACAAATTTGAAAACAAAGAACACGGCTGAAGCAATATAATACCTAAGTCCCAGCTTTTTGGGAATAAACCTTGAAACCACCTGTTCACAGTGCGAGGCAAAACAGAGTCAGGAATAATTACTCTTTGGTTTCATAGGAAAGTATTATTCTCCATTCTAAAGGAATCAATAGCAAGAGCATCCTCACAGTTATTGAGAGTCACATTTAATTTGTCCTTTGGTAGAAAGTCAGGAAGAAAACAAGTGGGGAAAAAAACACCAGAAGAGGCAGCTGAATAAAGTAGTTTCGTGAGGCCATAATTAATTTTAGTCCAGTCAATTGGAAAATGAAAGGGCAAGAAACAATCACATCTTTAGAAAAAATCAAGGTATCAGAGCATTCAAATAAAAAGACCAAAATACACACTGATAGCCCTTCTAAAATCCAGATGGTGTAAACTTGACTTTCCTCCTGCAGAGAAATACTGTTCCATACTGTTCCACAGTGGCTAGAACAGAACACGAGTATACCACTGTGCTCTGTTGTGTCTAGTGTTTTGTTCTGAGAATTAAAATGATGCTGCAGAAGCAACCAATTTAAACTAAGAAGTTAGAAAAGCCTTTGTGATCCCCTAAGAGTTTTTTCTGCTACTCCTCATATTCTAGAGTCTGAAACGACTTAAGAACACATTTCCTCCGAAATTCACTAAATATTTCTAAGAGCAGAGAAGTTCTGGGGCATCAGAAGAAATGAGAAGCCTGGGGGAAAGCCTTTGGAGACCATTTAAACGATCACCAAGACAAATGGGACCTGGGAGGTCTTACAGCTCGGGGTTGCACATCAGCACAAGCCTGGAGGGTCACTGCATGTGACTAGTGAAAAGCTTTCTGCTAGAGATGGCCCAAATGATAATTTTTCCTCAGTTGAGATCAACAGATGAGCAGGAGTGAGTGCTTCAAAAACAAGCAAAAGCAAGCCAAGTCTCTGGCTCAGAGACCCACTTTGAGATGTTTACTGGAAATAGGATACTGAAGAGTTCATTAGTCAGAAAAAAGCAATTTTTGTCCCTACAGTATGTCAACACCAGTGCTGTATTACACAGAAGACTGCATTACAAGTGTGAGCTAATGTTTTAGTGATTTATGACAAATTTTGATTACATTTGAACTCCGCAGTCCACCCTATCCAAAAGCTGCATGATTTCAAAAATTACTGAACTTCATTTCATTCATACGGGAGAAGAGCAATGCTGAAGTAAAAGTTAAACAATGTTTTGCAATTTATTTCCACACTAAATTTATGTTCTGACTTAAGAATACATTTTAATGAAGAACCAGATTTTTAAAGTCACCACCTTCACCAGGAAAAGGAATGCTTTCAAGCTGAAACTATGCAGCATTTCAAAAGGTGTTGCATGCACTCCAGAACTACTGCTTTCAGTATACTTAGAATCAGCTATCAAAATGCTCTCAACATGTTCGACACGCATCTACTCCAAGAACCCTATGAAACAAAAGGCTCTTTTGCCACCACTGAGGAATTGCTCAGTATTCAACATCCCACTCCTCTTCATCTGAAGTTCTCCAGTTATACTACTCCTTAATCCTCCTCTGAGCTATCTCAGAGAGAGAGAGAGCAGAGTGTGCATCTCAGAGCGTTAATTTAAGTGACTGGAGCTCCCATTTTCATTTTAATGGAGTTGAACCAAATCAAGCAGATTTGCGGTAAGCTTCCTTGGACAACTGGAACTTTAACAAAATACACAATCCCTGTTGAGTGAAGTAGAGTTGCTCTTAGCAGCACAGTCCCCATCACACACTCTTATTTTCATCTTGCTCATGTAAGAAGATTGTAAGTGTGAGCAGCACCATCAAGACAGTCTGTTAACCAGACTATTTGAAACATATTAGTAAAAAATGTATGAGAAGTGGTTGGGGAAGATGGGAGTGCATGCGTCTATTTTCCAGGGATCAGCAAGCTTTGCTGTGCACACTATCAGAACCAGTTGATCCAGCTGCTGAAAGCCACTGCAACTACTCAAAAACCAGACACTCCCCTCTTCCCCCCCCTCCATTGTAACTCACTGGCAAAACATAGAAATCCACTCCCGCATGTTTCTTGCTTAACATCTATTTACTGTAACAGCCAGGTTCTGTTCACATCCCTCATTTTTTCACATTTCTCCTCATCCAGTCTTTTCCCCTCTCCTCAGTTTTTTTCCTCTAGTTCAAAGCCTCCTAATTCGGCTGCAAAACAAACATGTTTTGTTTAAGCTGCTCTTCCGTAATACTCTTGGTGTACAGCCTTGTTGGACCATCAGAACAAAATTCAAAGCCAAGTTGGTGGTGCAGCAGCAATTCTGATGAGCAGCTGAAAGGAGAAGTTTATTTGTATAAACTTTTCATCTAAGCTAGGGGGAAAAAAAAGTCCTTGCTTCGCTTTTCTTGAGCTCTTGTTCTAGCAGTTGTCTAAATTGGGTCTCCTGCTCTTGTTATAGCACAGATGTCTCTCACACAAAAAAGCCGCAGTCTTATACTGTGGACTTTCATTCATCAGGCTTTAAAAGCCAGTTCTGACTTCATTATAAACAGCGTTACCCTACACCAAGCCCCACAGATTGCGGCTGCTCTACAAGTGCTGCCTCACAAGCAAACGTTACTCTTCAGCAGCGCTGAGATCAGGAAGCCCACATCAAAATATTCCAGTTCTCACATAGATTTCATGGGTTTAGAAGTGGAGCCCCTTTGAATGTGCCAGAAGAGCCTGTTCCTGCTCTTTTAGAGCACGCTATTTCATACATCCCTTCTTACTGTGGGTTTTCTGCCCTGTACCATGAACGGATTAGTCTCAAGGCATTAGGTCCATGAGAACAGTTTTCCATACTGTTTCCCACACACATACAACATACGACCCTTAAAGTATTACTGCAGAATCTGCTCACGTAAAGCAAACGCACTGTACCACCATCCTAATTTCTACAACTCCTAGCATGCTCAGGAGTTATAATTAGCAACTGAAATCACAGGTAGCAGAGGCAGAAATAGAGACGGGAAGATTAGGGTCATTCAGTAAAAGACTACGTGGATGTTTTTGGCTGCAAATGCTGAGTGTTCCAGGTGATTTAACAAAAAGAGAAAAAGGGAAAAAAAGGTCTGGCAACAATATGAGGAAAGAAGATGCTGGTGAAACGGCTTCTGTTTTCAGAGAAGAGAGTCAAGGTGAAAGAAAGGGAAAGAGCTGGGTGAGGCAATCCTGGTATAGCTCCAGATCTCAAGCCTGCTTGAAACACCGATGCCATCTGTACACCTTAGCTGTTCTGTATTTTCATGTCCACAAAAAATGCAATTTTAAATTACATTGATGCAACAAAACAACATGATGTAATCCCCACCTGGCCCTGGTGCACATCAGTGCACAAAGCAATGCCTCAGCAGAGCCACCAGCACTCACCCAGCCCCACAATTTACAGCAACGAGGAATTTGGAGCAGCTTCCTTCTGGCTTATGTACTCTTTTCATTGCTGAAACTTGTGTCCCCAGTAGGGGGCCCAAACGGCATGGCTTACAGAGAAAATTAAATGAGAAGCGCCTCATAAATCCCTGAGGAAGCTGTCATTTCTGAGAGGTGCAATTAGACAAGGCCGCACCACTGCTGAGGAAACTCCAACAGACTGCTGAAATGGTGCCAGGCTGGCCTGCTTGCTGCCACAAGCCAGAGCATCAACTGAGCACCTTTGCTTCTTTTTTGGATTTTATTTTTTAAACCAAAAAAAGCAAGACCCCACAGGTCTCCTGCAGAGGCAAAGCAGGACAGGCATGGAGTATCCAAACCTGCACGAAGTCTGCTGGGGCAAGGCTGCTCCTTCAAAACATTATGAAGGCATTTGAATAGGCAAAGCCAGATTGCAGTGGCTCAACACATTGCAACATGTGGTGGTGGTGTTTTTCATCTTGTAGGCCCTTCAGTACCCAGTTTACTGTCTCGTGAAACCACGACCATAGTCTGGAAGAATCAGAAAAATAAGTCTGGAAGCTGCTGAAGTTATTGTTTGCACACACCAGAAAGGCAGTGCCTGAAAACAATAACTCTGGCTTATTTACCACATCCCATACAAACCCTGGAGTGAATTCTTCTCCTGGGAACTTACAGTTGTAACCAAATGTTCAAAACTATTAATAAGTTTACCCTATAATACAGTTCTGTTTAGGTGGCATTACCAGGGTTTTAAGAATGTAGAACTGAACCACAGAGAACAAACCCAAAATTGTCAGAAGGAACTACTAATTGAGTGACCAATTTGGACACCAAAGGCTTCATTTTCCACAGAGCTCAGCACTTCTGTGCATTCAAAGTGCAACTTCAAAGCTGCACAAAGCAGCAAGGAGAACCGTGCATTTCTCCAAGAGGGAACCAAAGCTCTTGACAGGACAAACCAACCACGGGACACACCACAGGTGAATTGCAGCAGCTTCTGCCCAGTACGAGGCAGCTGAGGCATGGTATAGAATTCAGTTTTCCACAGCAGTCCCAACCAAAGGGGAGTGTTTTCCTGAAAGTCCTCAACTCACCACACACTTTCTGAATTTTAATTCTTTTTTAATTTCCTGACCAAAGAACCATCCTCCTACCCCAAGCCAAGGTCCCTCCCCTACAGGGAGGAACAGCAAGTGTCATCTTCCCCTCACTCTCATTACTCCAATATCTGGAACATCTGATTAGAAAGAATAAATTAAGGGATGATGTGGGTTATTTCAATTTCAGCATTTCAAATTAAGCAAAATAAATATAAGCAATTGGAAATAGATTTCAGGTACAGCA